CTCTGTGTCTAGGGCCTGTAATTCAGGGACTTCTTGCCCAGTTCCCTTCTTGTTTTGTGGCAACTGGCTTTTACCATGCAGCTGTGTTTTGAAATTGGACTGAGAACAACGTCCTCTTCATGTCTTATTTTGTGGGTTCATTAAGTCTGGTGCCAAGCTCAAACACTGTCACTATGTACTGAGTGCAAACCCTGTGTGAGACCAAAAACAGTCACCAGGCCTTGTAGGAAAGGTCACACAGCAGTGGGGATAGCTTCTGAGACATCTCTTCTTTCTCCCAAATACCTTTTGGCTTTTTGACCCAGGCCTGTGTGAGACACAACAGCACTAGAGAGAGAGAGACTCCTCTGCAGCTGGATGCTACAGTCCTCCAGTTCAGCCACTCGGGTGCATTTCAAGATCTATCTGTATATCGGTGACTTCTACCCCACAACCGCTTCCTTCTGTGCATCCCTGCAGTCTTCACCCCCACCTTTCCCCAATGTCTTCGTGTTGTCATGTCAGGAAAGAAAAAGAAGAGACGTTCCCCCCTTTCTTCTCCAAACCAGGCAGACTTCTAGGGCTTCAGGTCCTGTGGGAGTTGTCTCCTCTCACACAGCACGGCTGACCTGTTCTGTCCCAGAACCGTCGGGTCTACAGGGCCCAGGTGGACTCTGCCCTTCCTGGTGGCACCCACCCACCTCTGAACTGGCCCAGACCTGCCTGCACCCATTGCTGCCCTCTAGAAGGGCCTGAACATTTCTGTACAGCAAAACAGTAAAAGACTATACAAACATGAATAGACCTGGCCAGCCTAGACCTGACACACTAAAAATAACTGCTTACATGCCAAAACGGTAAGGGATGTTGGAGAAACAATCCCTGACCTAAACAATATATGTACTGAGAGAGATCCAGCTGCAGAAATAAAGATAGACAGATAGATATCTATATTGATATAGATATATACACATGCGCACACATCAATAATTCTTCTGTTAAGAAAGGATGACACATTTGTTAGATAGTGGTGCCATCTGTTGGACAGCAGAGGCAGCAGACGATATCTGAGAGCCAACGGCTAATTTGGGGAAATAAAACAGACCCCGAGCCTGGGAAGAAGCAGCCAGGGTCACTGTGTGGGTCCCAAGGGCTGACTGACTTCAGGAGTATACTGCAGAGTTCAGGAGTAGTCCTGGACTCTTGCACCAAGCATATGGACACAGCACCCTCCGGCCCAAGATTGTTACAAGTGATGGGAATACATTTCAGAGCTGCCCTCTCACAGGCTCTTTCCTTTGTGAGGCCAGTGCCCAGGCTGGGAAATAAAACCCTCCACCCATGCGAGTCTCACTGTCCACTCACCCAACAAGGAGGTGTCCACAATAGGCCACCCACATCCAGACGAAGTTAGTATTTTCAACACAATATCAGCTACCACACCAAAAGGAACAGGGTGCTACCCCAGGAGTTATAAAACCAGAGTTTACAATTTGATCCAAATTCATTGCGCTCTGTCCCAGCTCATCTTTGGCTCTTCATGGACACATGATCGCTACCTGGACTACACTGCCCAGAGCTGACTTTCTGAAGGCTGCACCTGCCTGGCATTGGCAGTGCCCACTGTGGAGGAGACAGGTGCCGCCCATGGTGTCCCCCTGCCCCTACCCTCCAGGACAGGTGCACCACTGGCAGCAATGAGCTGGCCAGTGTTTTCAAGTGGGATTTGTTGAGAAACACTTGGCAACAGGGCACCATACCAGAATGCAAGCAGAGAGGGGGTGGGGCTGCCAGGAGCTGGCCTGGGCCAAGGCAGGGTTGTTACAGCCTGACTCCAGATACAGCCTGGCTCTTCCCTGGAATGGGCATCCATCAGGAGCTGGAAATGTTCCCTCAGGTAGAGACACAAACATGGAAGGGAGCCAGGCAGCACTGGGGCAGGTGGAAGTGGGGCCAGGGCTGTCATGTGCCAGGCAGGATGGGGTCTGGGGCCAGGCCTGTGTTGGGCAGGGTGGGTCTGGGGCCTGGTCAACATTTTTCTGTCCAGGGAAGGGCCCTCTCCCCTGGCTCTTCAGGATTCAAGATGCCAGCAGGTCAAGGAGGATCCAAAGCACGTCTCCGCTGGCTTGGGGAGCTGTACAGCCAGGACAGTGCTCTGCTAGGCAAAGTGTAACTCAGGTCAGAGTCATGCTGTGCTTGACAGGGTGGAGCTGAAGTGTTAGAGCAGTGTGGAGCAAGATGGATCTGGGGCCATGACAGCACTGGTGCAAGCTGTTTCCGTGGCTGGGGTGACATGAATCTGTATCAAAGAGCAGGAAGTCTGCACTGTGTGGTGTTGGGAGTGAGTCTGCAGTTGCAGTTCCTGCTCTTTTGGCTTGCTGCTTGAAAAAATTGCACTTGAAGATACACACACAGTGTGAAAAGACTACATTTTAACACAGGTATAATGTGGGCTGGTTTGCACACCAGTTATGTGAATGTCTGGATGGGAGAGATGATGATCAGCTCTCCTGAGACAGCTGCAGCAGCAGGCGTTATTACAGTGACTCTCCACAAGGGAAGCCGTTGATATACAGCTCCCTCGTCACCACCAGATTTCATCCTAAGCACAGGGCTAGATTCATTGTCTACATCCAAGCTCTAGGTTACAACCAGATCTGCTCTGGTCCCACCAACCGGGATGAACACTTTAAATTAGTGTAGGGATTTCTACAGTTACAATACAATCCCAAAACTGTAGCCACTCAAATCAGCAGAAATTAAAACCTCTCACCATGTGAGCCTCATAAGAAGGAATCCATTTTCCCTTGGTGGGGTGAAGCCTTTGACTCTCCTGAGTGATGCCATGCTGATAGTCACTCTCCTTGGGTCTCCATATTTCTGTAAATGGAGGAGACATTTGCTGCTCACTAGGCCTGTGTGAGTCGGCAGTGATCCGATCCGGCTTCGGATCCGGCCGCTTTGGATGGCCACGATCCAATCCGGAGCTCTGGACCGGATTTCCGCCTCAATCCAGCTGAAGCGGCTCCGAAGCTTTGGAGCCGCCTTGGAGATCTGGCCATAGGGTATAATGGGGAATCAATTAAATATCTATAACTTTGTTGTTTTTTGTCTGATTTGGATGAAAATTTTAGGGGTGGTAGACTCTGCAGAGCATGAAGCCTGCCAAGTTTCAAGAATATTGGTATTGGGGTTTGGGGGGGACTGTACCCTAAATTCTTGAAAGCCAAACTCATGTCACGTCTATGTGTTACAACATAGTGGGGTGAAAACTGCACGGGTGGTGGCCTATGCTGAGGCCACAAAGGCTGCCAAGTTTGAAGAAGATCGGCGCAGGGGTTTGGGGGGAACTGCCCCTCAAGCTGCGGACAAGCAAAACTGGTGCCATGGGTGCTTGTGGGACTTCACTTGGACCCGGATGTGCTGCTTTGGACCCCGAAGCATCTGAAGCTTCTCCGGATCCGAAGCTCTGTCCAAAGCCTCGCACGGCCCTACTGCTCACATCAGCGATCAGAGGATGCAGCCCAGGTTGGGTCCTGCTGCTGCTGTTTCAGCCCTGCAGCGCATGTGTTGTTCAGGGAGTTTTCCTGTTTTGTTTCTGCATCTTAAACCACTCTTTGCTGGGATCCAGACAGACTTCCTTCCCCCAACAGAGCACCACGCTGTGAACAGAGAAGGAGAGAAACAGAGACAGAGAAAGGGGTTATGAGGTTCTTTAATCATGAGCTAGAAAAGAAATGCAAAGTCACCCACAGACTCTGATCACAGGCCCCTTTGCTTAGGAATCAGGCCAGTCACTGGGAGAGTGCTGGGAGGTAACGCCCTTTCCCCTGAGACATTCTTTTTCTAGCACGAGATTCTCTCTTATGGAACAAATGGCTGGCAGAACCGCCTGGACCTTCACTGTCCCTGCTTTGCCAATGCACCAATGCATGTCTCCTGCCAGGCCAGTTCTGACTGCCTCAGCCATCCTAGGCTATGTCTACATGTACAATTAATGTGAAGCAAAACTCTGGAGTTTATTGCTCCAGAGATTATTGCTCCTGGGCACACTGTTTGAATGTGCATCCAGAACTGCAGCATGCCGAGCTGGGGTGGAGCAGCCCTGGCTGGCAGGGAAACCACAGGGCCAGCCTGACAGTCTAGGGCTGCTTCAGTGCAGGGCTAGCCAGCAAGCAGCCCCCATGCTGAAGCACACTCATGTCCCAGCCAGCCAGGGCAGCATCTACATGTGTGCTGCTGTGGAGTTTTTTACTCTGCAGTAATTCCAATACTATCCTGCTGTGGAGTCAACTATTTTACTCCAGCCTAATAGCAGCACATGTGTAGATGCTGATGCTGAGACATTCACTGCATTGTTCAGTGAACGTCTCATGTAGACATGTCCCCAGTGTGCTCCAGTCCTGTCATGCTGCCCCAGCTGTCAAATCTCTACCACAACTAGACCCTGCCCTGCTGCTGGGCAAGAGCTTGTGGTTCCTTGGTGCATCTCAGACTCGGTGCTCCCATACCTGAATGCGAGTGGCTGGACATGGAGATTTACCTGTAGTGCCACCTAGGGTGGAAACACACAACTTTTGGTGGGACAGCCTGCTCTTTCTTGAGATGGAGCAGTTTTTGTTCAGATGTCCTTCGCAAGTGTCCTGGGACAGACCAAATTTTGCTGCCACAAAAAATATGATAAGTTTGTCTCAGGACATTGCAAAGGGCATCTGAAAGCCTGTTCCTGGCAATATGGCAGGATAGGGGACACAGACATCCCACAAGCCACTAATTCTGTCCCAATCCTGACCCCTCTTCACCCCAGGCTCTGAGTCTGCACGCCTGAAGTAGGGGACCTGTCGCAGAGCACTGAGGTGCCCTGCTCCTAAAGAGGAGAAACTGCTTGGGAAAGAGCCCTAGCAGTGAATAAGGAGCCCAGCTGTGGGTTGCCAGGGCAACCAGAGGAAGTCAGCTGACTGTAAGGGGCAGGGCCTGGCCCTTATAAAGCCCAGGGGCCCAGGCCACACTGGTAGTTCCCTGTTAGTAGCCAGAGAGGAAGGAGTTTCCTGAGCAAAGCTGTGAGGAGAAGTCTGACTGCAGGTACAGCCTAAGCTGGGTAAAGGATGGTAGCCCTGGGATGTTTGAGCTATGTGGTTTTAGCCGGGCGGCTTTAAGTTATGTTATAGCCTAGGGGCTTGTGTTTTGTGTTGTTGTTTATCACGGGTGGTTTGGGGGAGGCCTCATAGGGGACTCACAGCGGAGTGTGAGGACCCCAGCGCCAGTGATGGTGCAGCATTCAGGGTGTATAGACCCCAGCCCCAGAGAAGGGGGTAGCAGTGTGGTGGTGAGCCCCAGAGAAGGGGGTAGCAGTGTGGCGGTGAGCCCCAGAGAAGGGGGTAGCCATATTGAGGAAGAACCACATTGTGGAGAAGGCCCCAGAGAGGGGATGCGGAGAGAGACAGGGCTTCAGAGGGCCTGAGTGCCAGAGAGATTGTAGACCTGAACAGAACAACATCTATTTCGTCTGTGAGGCTTTGGGTGTGGTATTGGGGTGGCAGGAGCCATGCATAGCCCCTAAAGCTAGGGTGCCCCGGAAGCACCCATTTGTAGAGCGGGACCCATGAGGGGTCCAGGAGTCCACAGGGCGGAGACTACAGCAAGATGTGACCAAGAGGGCGGAAACGGCAGCCTTCCTAACATATTTCAATATCAAAGACGTGGCAGGCGAGAAACTGAGGGTGCCCTTGGGTCAACTTGGCATGGGAAGGGGGCCTTGAGGAGATCACGGCCCTCCTGTAGGACCCTGCCTGTGACAGAACCCCACGGGGCCTGGGTTGTGTAGTACCACACCCTCTAGAGCCCCAGTCAAGATTGTAATCTCATGGTGCTGAGTGTTGCATGCAGCTGGAGTGACAAACTGTCCTGCCCCAAACAGCTTCCTATGTTACCAAAACAGACAAGGTGAAGCAGGCAGACAGTGCAGCAAACTGCACCCAGCACATCCTGAGAACAGAACTCCTTGGAGACTTCTCCCTGGCCCCTTGTTTAATCCCTAGTCCTCACTGTTCCTGGCCCGTATGTCCTCCCTTCTGAGTGTAGGGATTCTGCAGAAATGCTTCACTGCAGTTTGCTGAGCTGACTTGAAATACTGCACATGGAGTTAATTCAGTTCCTGTGTAATGCCTTGCTGCTCCACAGGTTTTCTACCTCAGATGCCCAGGGGGAGGCAATGGTGTATCAGAGGAGATGCCATCTGACCCGGAAAAGTGGCTCATCAGGATGAACTGGGTCATTGGCCTCCCCAGCTAGAGCATCTGCCAGGCAACACCGTATGACATCACCCCAGTCACTTTCTAACACCCCTTATGGCAAAATCAAATTATTTCCTACACCTCCATTTCTACTCTTTTTAGCACCAGATCAGTGTCTGCCTGAGGTTTTACTCTGACTTAAGACCATAAGGATCAGCTCATGCTCTATTGCTCTGTAGCTGAATGGGTACTGTACTAAGCTGCTGTTAGTATGACTGCATTCAAAATTTGTGGAGTTGAGTCCCACCAGAGTCACATTCCCACCTCACCCTGGTATATTTATGTACTGATTTCTTTAACAGTGGGCATGTCTACTCATGTGCCACAATTAGTGCAAAGTAGATTAATTTACTTTGGTGTAGGATAGTCCTGTCAGACATGGGTCCTATCCTATACCTCAGTAAATTATTGCACTTAAATGCATGTGTAGATGATGATGTCAGGATTAGTTTACTTTGGCTCAAATTGAGCCAGAGTATGTTCAGTCACATTGATTGCACATGTAGATGCGCCCAGTGTGACTTTAAAAAAAAATTTATTTATTTATTTATTTATTTATTTATTTTATCACAGCACAATTAAGGATAAACTCATTCCCAATGGCAAGAACAACTACAACAACAACACGCTACTCCATGGCACAGAAGCAGAACTTCTCGTGCTTGTCATAACCTGCTACTCTGAGATTTGTAGGTCTCAGATGAAATTGCTCCTGAGCAAAGAAAAAAGGGTCAACTTCTTGGAATGCAGAGATATCAGATTCGCCCAAAGAACTTTGTGCTGCTCATAGCCACTTCATCACTTCACCCAAGCAGAACTGCTTTCCATGGTCATAGTGCACTGGTATTTTTTGCCATTTCTCCTGTTTCTTGAAATGCCCTTTGACCGCTTTCTAGATCATTGTCACATTGGTGAAGTGTTATAAATTCTGAGGCTTCCTATGTTGTTTTGCATTTGCAGGAAGGAGCAGTAATAGATAGTATGTCTGCACCATCTCCTTGGCATTCCTTGGCATGCCTGGGGAAACTTGACTGGGGATGGTATGATAGGCCAATAATGTTCTTGGCTCAATAATCGGCGTATGTGGCACGTTAAGTTGGTATTTTGTTATTGCCCCGGTAGGGTTGAAAGGTAACTAACGCTGTGTGGGAGATGACTGGTAATCCCATGATTTGGATCTGCTAATCTTTTTTCACTTCATGAATGATTTACTAGCATCTGTTTTTCCCCCACTTCCCAAAAGCACTGGACATTGGCCATTAATAGTGGTCAGAGTTTTGGCTGGAGTGCACTGATGTTCTTGCCAATACTTAGAAGTATCTGAAAGGAAGGATTGCTTTTTCCACTAAGGGTTACACCACACAGATTTGAGGTTAGAAATATTTTTTTTTCCTATCAGGTCAGATTGGAAAAAAACTGCAGTGTTTTGCTTTCCTCAGTAGTATGGGGCATGATCTTCCACCTAGCCTCATCTAAGCATATATTGACCTAACAAATTGTCTGCCATTGCAGTGGCAGGGCACCTCTACCTGTGGCACTTTGTAGGATGGTTTTGTTTTCATAAGGTGCTTTGTGGCAGTGGTGTACATGACCAACTGGTATGGACATTTTTTAGGGCTTTGCAGCTACATGGTTGCTTGCAGACACAGGGGACTGGAATCAATGGCCCAGGAAGCCACTTCCAGTCTTATGTTCATAAGATTGGAGAGAGAGCTGGTGGTCAGGCAGCCTCCCCACTTTGCTATTGTGCGGTTACTCCAGAAGGCTATGCCTATTTTTACCCTTAAGGGATGGGACTGATACGGAAAACCAAAGTCATTTATGAAACTGCTAACAACAAAGAACCACAAGTGCTTTGCAAACAGATACAAGAAAACAAACTGAGGTGTATCAGCAAGGTGCCACTGACACTGAAACAAATTTGATTTGCCAACATAGAGGCCAAAGCTATGCAGTTTAGGTCCTGATCCTGTAAACTATAATGCAGTGGTGGTTCTCAACCTTTTTAGATTGGAGGCATCCCTGGATAACTTTTGTAAATTGAGTAGCACCCCAGTTCAAAAAAGTCCTGTATTCCTTGCAGGGGAAGGAAGGGAGGGGTGGGAAGGAAGTGGGGACCTGGGAGCAGCTAGGCAGGGAGTCTGAATCTGCCCTTATCTGCTTATCTCCCCACACCTGAAGCCCGAGCTTGCCTTTATCTCCTTAAAGCATCACACCTAGCTTACCTCTTTCCAAGAATCCCTTCAAAAGGTCTCAGGGCACCCTGGCTGAGAATCACAGTATAATGTTTATTCACACTTGTACTCTTAACCACAGTTCAGCAAGGGCTTGATCACACAGAATAGACTACCCGCTCCCCCAACAAGTTAAGCATGTGCTTAAGCACTTTTCTAGATCAGGTTGGAGCATTGTAGCAGCGGTGGTCTGGGAAATATGTAAGAAATGAGGGTTTTGGGGGGATGTCTTTTATTGGAGACATGTTAGACAAGCTTTTTGGGCACTGCCCTGAGGAAGGACACTTTAGCTTGCCTGGCATGTCTTCCAACCCTGAAATGTATCACCAAAAAACACGCCCCCCCATCCTCACTTCTCGTATTTCCTGGACTATTAAGACTACAAAACAAACATTGCTCCACTCCTACTAAAAGGTGGTTATGTGTCAATTAGCCACCAGAGGGAGCTCAAACAAGAGACAAAGGATGTAACAAACACAGAAACTAAAATATAATGTAGTGCCGGTGACTGGAAAACTAAAAATATCCTGTATTGAAACATTTCTGCTTTAATCTTTTTTAAAATACAATACATTGTAGTTTTGTTTGTTTCTCTCCTTCCTATTGTTCCTGAAAACAGTAACTTTGTTACTTTGACTATCCTCTGCTGCTTGTTCCTTCCCTGTTCCTGACTCCCAGTACACCTCCACAACAACCAGGTGTGTTGCGATCCAGGGAGCAGCTGAATTCAGACCGACTTCAGAAGCATGAATGGATTCAAAGAACAAAGTTCTGCCTTCGATCAAACAGTCCAGCTGCTCAGATAAAGGAAGAGACAAAAAAGACCTGACAGGCGGTATACCGAGGCAGGCAGAACAACCGTGGCACTTGGCGGGCCTGTGCCCATCCTGCCCTGGGTGCCAGCACCTGCCCAGGGTCACCTCACCCCGGTGCTTTTTCCTGCCCAGGGCAAGCGGTTGGACTTGATGATCTACCAAGGTCCTTTCTGACCCTAAAACATCCATGACATCGATGAAGAAAGGCCATTTTAAGTACCATCCTCATAATGAATATAGTTAATACTTTAAAACTGTGTCTGGATGCAGATTCCTGAATAGGAGTGAAAAGTTTGTCTGTGCACCTTTGTGCTCTGATCCCCCTGTGCACACACATCGTGCGGAAGATAAGTTGGGTCAAGTCTACAGGACTACTGGCTGGTGCGAGACCCAAAATGTTCAGCACCTTTGGTTTGACACTTCCCGACTTGAGAACGCCTTGGCCCTGCCCCGCTTCGGCCTGTTCAGTTATACCCGTGTGCAAGCGAAGCCTCGAGGCCCAGATGAGCAGCCTTCTAATCCCTTCACGTAAACCTCGGGGAGGTTGTTTGCTTGTTTATTCCTTTATTTATTTATTTATTTTTAAAGAAAACGTCAAATGAAAGAAGCACGCTACTACTCAGACCACGTGGCGCAGGAGCTAGGGGCCGCTGGCTTTGCGCACGCGCAGCTTGACGCTGCGGCGATGACGCGTTTTATTCAGACCGAGCCCTGCGGGCGGGGGCGAGGAGCGCTCCCGGCCGCGCGGGATTCTGGGAGCGCCGCCATGGAGGTGGGGGGGGTCCTCAGGTAAGGAAGTGGCGGCGCCGGGGCTGTTGGGAGTTGTAGTCCGCGGGGCGCCGGGAGAACTCCGTGTCCCATGAGGCTGCGCGGCGGAGGCGCCTGCGCGCGGGGCCGGGGCGGAGCCAAGATGGCGGCGGCGGCGGGGGCG